GCGCAATGTTTCGTTTCAAAATCGTTAGCTGTCTAATTGACTATAAACCCTTTTTTCTAGGTATAAACTATTTTTTGAGTGGAAATATAAAAAAAGAATCATGCTTTGGAACCTAGAGCGCTGTGAGTCCGCTGTAATGAGCGAGTTCGCATCATTTCGAACCCACTGCGACATGTTTTTGTGCAAATAACGGACAGTTGATAAATCGACATGACATTCTGCCAGCGCCGCATAAATTTAGGGAGTTGAGGGACTATGCGAAGGGCATGACTATTCTGATTGACCACGGCGAAGTCTAACATAATTCACCAGAAAAGGAAATTCTGTAGTATCCGATCCTATACCTCTATGGAATTTATTTGGAATCGAATTTAGAAAAAGATCACTTATTCCTCAATTGTTCTCATAAATCAATGAAAGCTATTTAGTTATGCGCTGACATTACGCATAATCTCCTCCAACCACTGTTTTCGAGCAGGATATTCACCGCAATGATCCTTATTGTTCTAATAGGCAAAAAGTTACAAAGATGTCTGAAAATGAGGACTTATAGTGAGATTGTGGACAGTGGTGTAGTAGAAAAATTGAGTTAGATGAGAATTGAATGAGTTTTAGAACAACGATGTTCAGGTATTTCGCTTACGAATTCTCGGAAGTCAAAGTGGAAAGAGGCAGTCAAGATGAACGATAGTTTGTGCCTGCCATATGCGTTGCGTAGGCCAAGTCTTTTACGAATCTTATATTTGAGGGTAGGGAACATTAGGTCACCGAAAGAGGAGGTCCACATACTTTGAGACACAGTTCTAAATTTATTGCTCCAAAAAGGAAGACTATAAGCGGCTTGACAACCGAAGGAGTACATACGTGTGCTTCTTTGCAGATACCGTTACCCCAAATTGGTTAATTTCATCGAGCTGCGTGTAAGTGGAAGCGTAAAACGCTGACTCTCAATCTACCTTTCTTAATTGATGATCTCTGTTGCTCTGTTCCACGGCGCACGATTAGAACCTTGCGAAAGCACGACCTGTACCTACTGCCATTTCAGCGCCGCAGGCGTCGCGGTGACGGTCAGCCTCGTGCGTTGATGAATGAACGAAATATGAAGTTATAAGCAGAGTCAAGCGTGAGTTGTGGCATGTCACACCTTGGGGTCGCAGTGAGGTAGGGAGGAGGGGGGAGGAGGTGAGTCGTTATCGAGGTGATACTGATGTTAGCGATAACATGACATTCGTTAACGATGAGATATATAGGCATCAGTTAAGCAAATTATGCATAATGCTAGCACTGATGTTTTAGCCTACCAACGCGTACGTACAGCAAGCATAGTAGAAAGCTCGAAAGCGTAAGAGCATCATTTTCGTAATTAGCATGCCAAAACTCCTACGGGCCAGTTTAGCGAATTCTGATGTTTCAAAACATTGGGCCACCCAAGTGAGGTGATCATTTTCAATCATGTTAACTTTGTTCTAAAGGTGAATAACTATTTTTGCACTTGTTACTTACTATTTCTTTGCTCACTGGAAATTCTACTTCAAATAACTTCTAAATTACGTACTTGAGGGCAAGTTAAAATCTCATTTGTTGCATTTTCCGCTTCCATATCTCAATCTAGAGAAGACCAATCACAGATAACTTTTATGGAAGTTACGGGGCTTAGGCTATCAATTAGATTTTTTTTTTGTGATGTGGTTGTTCTGAGTTCTTTTCTTTAATTAGGTGCACCATGAGTGTATTAAAAAATTTGAAAAAAAAATAAAAACTTCTCGCCGCCTTCCCTCGCGAACCACGTATAGCCCAAACACAGCATTACCGTATCCTATTATTTACGCAGTATTTTCCACTTGCATAGGTTAGGACAAACGACCGTATCTTTCTCAAGGATAAACGATTTAGAACGAAATTCTTGCTATGTAGAGAAGAGGGGTTAGCAATGGCAACGATATAAAAAATACAGATTTGATGCATTGAAGGTAGTCAATAGGATGTGGCACAACCTCTAAGGTGTGGCAGCCACAGCTTTTCTGAGGTTGTGCCACACCCTATTGACTTACCTCCAAAGAAATTTTCAGAGAATAATACAGAACAAGTTCGATAGCATAAACATCGTAACTTCCACACCAGTTGTTGTTTCAATTTAATTCGTCTTCTATAATTTAAATAAGAACTACTGAAAGCACACCCTTCAGTGGCAAATTGGGACAAACTAAATTTAACTGGTTCTTAGCTCCATATGGCGGTTATTTAGATGGGATTGTATAAACAAAGCGGGATTTGCTATGTATTAGGTTGGTCAAAGTCAATGCGTTTTGCCAGTTCCCATCTTGGTGTGCTATAACTTCCAAAAAAAATCTACATTTTCCAATGCATTGAAAACCATCAGAGGTGCAAACCTTTTGCAATACAGTTGATGTGCCAAGTGCCATCATCACGTCCACACACATTAAAGTCAAGTTGTACGTTGGTGATATAAAGATCTATGGGATTTAAGGGGATGAGAACTCTCAGGAGGTAAGATACGCTCTGCAAGCATCGCTATGTAGACTTGCAGATTGGGCCTCTGCTTGGTGCTTACTGATCAACCTTGAAAAATCCTCTTCTATGCACCTAGGCAATGGACAAAAGCAGACGTACAAGTTGAATAGTGTGGACTTGAGACAGAGTAGTTTCATCTATGATTTGGGTGTTCGTTTCAATGAGTCTCTGGATTTTACCGAGCATATTAATGAAACTGTTACCAAGGCATTTGGCTCGGTCTTCCGGATACTTCGAAATGTCCACACGGATAATCCAATGATTATGTTACGACTTTATAAATCTTTTGTTTTACCTAAACTTGAATACTGCTCACAACTCTGGAGTCCGAGTAAAGCTAAACATATTAAAAAGCTTGAAAGAGTTCAGAAAGTTTTTACTAGAATTGTGATAAGGAGATGTATCCCCGTTTGTTCCGCTCTGAGTTATCATGACCGCTTGAAGAAGCTGGGACTTGAATCTCTTGTTTGCAGAAGACTAAATCTGACCTCTTGTTTTGCTTCGGAATTCTGAAACGTGAAGTCACGTTAAATCCCAGCGATTACTGGATCTTTATGCCTGCTTACGATAAACACGGTCGTTTTAACTTGCATTACCCAAAAGTCGAGAGGAAACATGCCAACCTGTTATTCAATCATATTTTTTGTCGGGGAGCTAGATGGTTACGGTGCATACCTCGCGAAGTTTTGAGTGCTGACGACTGTGAAGCGTTCAAAAGGAAACTGAGGAAAGTTGGCATTTGCCAATTATTGAACAATTTTCTGTGATTGTCCCTAGTCTGTATTCATTACAGGTTTGCCTGTTTCTGGTCTATATCTTGCTGGCCCTCGCTTGTCGACTCATGTGTTTCAGACTTTGCTTTCCCCACATCGCTTTTACGACAGCCGCTTTCGTGAGGCTCTTTCCTACTACGTCGTTTCACGATTTCATGTTCTTTTCGATTTGCTGTGTTCGTGTTTCTCGATTTATCGTGTTTGCTAATCATGCTCTGCTGGCGTGTCACCCACTTTCGGATTGAGCAACAGCATTGGGCCCTGGGACCGTAGACAGCTGCGTTTCATGCATGGCTTTCCCAGAATAAGGCAGGTGTATCCAAGCGTCGGTGGTGTCAGGTTGGTGAATACCTGGCAGGAACCAATCGCAGACGTTTTGGACAGCCGGAAAAGTGGCAGTGGCATTCCCTAATGCCCACCACCTGACCTCCCTCGATCAAATAGAAATTTTTCTTTCTTAACACCTAGGCCTTTATTCGCTGTTTGTTTGTTCTGGTGAAAGGTGACAGGCTAGTCTCTTACTCTAGCAATGTTTTCGTTCACTCACCCAGGCTTTGGCACACGTTTTGCGTGTATGAAATAAATAAATAAATAAGTAAATAAATACAGCGCACATCCAGCTATACTCGCATCACGGGCAGAAAAATAAGGATTGATAAGCAGAAAAGTTTTTTCTGAAACCTCATTTTTGACTGCTCATAACTCCCTTCAATTGTTATTATAAATTATAAATAGTCCATCTTGTAACCACGTAAGCCAATAGTATGATAGCGAAAAGGATCCGAACAAAGAAGATTTGCGATAAGGAAAAAAATAATCTAAACTTGTAGCTTTATTCAACACTTTTTTGTAAGCCTCAAAGTTTCAAAATATGGAGTCTTTCAATTTTCTGCGTTGAACAGCTAAACATTTTTAGAAGTGTCAACATGACGCCCAGCCTTAGGCTTACAAATAAGATAAGCTTTGGCGATTGCACTCCTGAAAAAAAATCTGTGAACTGCAGAATGAACAGATCGACTACCCGTGTTGAAGCGCCAAAATTTCAGTCTGGGTAATTTCAATGAAAATATTAGAGAGCGCATAACGTATACAATTTGTATTACACATAGCAGCTGAATTCTCAAAAAAACTTCATTTCTTGAGTTTTGGCAAAAAAATAGATGCAATGAAATTCCGGTTTCGAAGTTGTGTAAAGCTCTATAAATTTGCAACTAATGAAGCTAGAAGACCGTCTTAAAACCATTAGATAAAGCGTAGAAAGGGCTTCTTGATAGTATGCGAAGTTTTTTTAAGGAGAAGGTTTTATGGAGAAAAAAAAAGTTGTTCTGAAACAAGCGCTAAAAACGCGCATTATTTTGCACCAACCTAATATATAGCACCTAAGCACCTCAAAAGCAAAGTTAATCATGTCTAAAAACAATCTTTTACTTAGGTGGCTCTATAAAAGATCGGAATTCGCTAAAACTTGGTAAGCAAGGGTTATTGGACACGTTGTTATGAATACGTTACTCCATGCTTCTTAGGGCCTCATGCTATGTACGATAGGTAGGTAGTATGCGCGGATGGGGGTCTCTTGAGACACTCAGCGAGGGGGGGATGCGTTTCCGGTCGTGTGTCTCACCTCCTGCTCGACCCTGATCGCAATTTTTGCAGCTTGCAGTTTATCGCTTGGAAACCCATCAAAAGAGCAATCAAATATCTTCATTTCAAAACTTCATTCAAAATGCACACATAAAAAAAACAGTCACATAGGAGAATTTTTTAAAGCAACTTTATGACCAGAATCATTGAAAACTGCTATGAAATTTATAGAATTTCATGTACCTAATTCTGCTTATATATTCTCGACCGTTGAGGTGGTGATTTGAAACGTTTCCGTGTAGTAAGGTGTATCTTCTGAGAACGGACTTGGCCAAGAACGGTGCACTACCTTAATGAATAGATTAGAGCGTTCAGAAGAGGGTTCCACTACTACTCTATATAAGTTGAAAAGTTGTGAAGCTATCTGGTGCTGCAAATTAAGAAGAAAAACGGGCTGAGAAAAAAGTAAAATTAAATAAAGTATGGCGATCCTCCTTGTCTAGTGCGCCATTAAATCGTCCTTTATAAATTTATGCTCGTTCGATTCCGATCATTTCACACCATCTTATTGCCATATTTGCTTTTGAACGTTAATCGTGTACCTCTATGGCGTCTAGCTAGCTATCCAAGCGAAGTTGCACAGTACGACATCAGCTTTTCGGCTAAAATATCAATGTATCTGATATGATTGGCGTTGTGTACGACAAGAAAGCAATTCTACTCTAAATTACTACGTTTTCTGCCCAATTTAAATACATTCAATACCCATACATCGAATATTGACACTTGTCGTCCCATTTTGCTAGGATTATTCAAGCACTCCTTCTCCGGGTAACAGGCCTAGGCCAAAACACTGCCGCGTTTTGCATGGATTCCTAAAGACCGTGACTCGCGAGATTTTATCTCATTCAAAGTCCGATATGAGCGGATAGCAGACCCTCACCCAAGCTACTGCCAAAGTTCGGTCGAGTAATGTCACTTGCAAGGAAATTTTCGGTCGCAGACCTGATTGCGCAATGCTTTTGGGCTCCCGCTTGGCAGACTCGGTGACTACTTCAGTGTCAGTGGAAGCATTGATGATCTCAATTGGAAACACTATTGAAAAATCAGAGCATCTCTGGATTCATCGAAAAATGCAGGATTATGACAAAAAAAGAGGTTTTGCTGCACACGTAAAAATTTATCAACCTTACCTTTTCTCAAATGAGCCGTCCACCTCTAAATAAATCTAAGCGACTCATATTGCACTAACTTTTCATTCGAATGTGTTAGTAATCTGGACAACATCAAAAATATTTACAATCTGTAGCAACAACGTCCTCTCTGCGCATCCGCAACACGTGGGCATTGCGCAGCTATCTTTGATCAAGGCGGCAAATTTGAATGCTCAAGTCATACTAAGCTTGTTCGCATGCGGATCAAACACACGAGCGATTCCGTGAGGAAGTTTTTTTTGCTGTATGTTGTTGCTGTATGCTTTATGTTGAACGCAAAATTTCAGCAGTGAAAAAGAAAATACGGCTAGGAGGACATTGAACTTCTATGGACAACAAACCCAAAAACAACGAAAGAGTACATGTTTAAAACCACAAGAAATCTGGCTCACATAATGTTGTGAGCTATAGATATTTGCTGAAGAATTTACGTGCGCTTACTGTTTCACTCACTCACCCTTCGGCTGTTACCTCCGAACTTGCGGACATCTCAACGGTGGGGTAAAAATGGATCTATCGCTTGTGAAGTTTTTTGCTTCGACATTGAGCTAAAGCCCAAACTAGCTGGGTTGACGGCATGTAGTGCTCTAATAATGTGCATAGTGCCTCACATGGTTTTTAGCCTGTGAACGACGAAGCGTCGAAAAGTTCGGTCAGCACGAAAGTTTGATACTTTTCCCTTATCAGGATTCATTTTTTTTCAAAAAAAACGTATTGCTTATTCTCTCGTATTTTCATATTTGGTCCCAACTTCACAAAAAGGAGTGTCAGCCTTCCTGCCACGTGTCAAAAAAATTGACATGTCATTTACATGTTTAAAGGCAGTGGATCGGCAAAACCCAACAACTCGGGAATTTAACGCGGTAAGTTCCTTATCGCCCAACTATGAAAACAGTGCAATCCCAGTTGCACAGCATGCTTTCCCTGCCGAAAAAATCGCTCTCGAACTTACACGCGCAGGCCAATCTTACACGCATCTGGACAAGTTGGCAATTTCCTTCTCACCATTGGAGGCTGCCCGCCGCAACGCTATAACCATTGGGTCCTGCCACGATTTAGCGTCATCGGTGCTCCACTCGTCCAATACCAAAAGGAAGGGCATTAAAAACGCTCAGTTTCGCCGTTTTCAAGCTTTCAAAAGTGGATTTTCGGGATCAGCGTATTGAAAAACTCCAGGTAAGCGCAAATTTGACTAGGTTGAGATTTGCCGAGCCACTGCCTTTACCAGGTTCAACCAAGAATTTGTTTCCCTAAGTAGCGACGTAGATTCAATCTGTTTTTTAGTCAATAGTGGCCCCATTTTTGATTAAGCAGTATCAAAAATGATCACTGTTATCATAATAACGTCATCTGTTATTAACAGATTGGACTTGCCCAGAATAGAGATAGGTAGAGTCCCATCATCTTACGCACGAAACAAGCAGTGGCGAGGAACTTCAAGCCATCATTTAGTATAGTCTCATCTGGCTAAGTTTCGCAAGGCGAAAAGTTTGAAGAGAAAGACGATACTGAATCATTGCTGAAAACGATTAAGATGTTCTAATATAAGTTCTGGATTGTTTTGCTCTTACAGAAAACTATTAAACAATCAAACAGCTTCTAGGTGATCACAAATGCTCTTCTACCTTACCGGAAATGATTTCGAAAAATACATGTCAAAATGGACCAAAACGTGTCAATATTTTTCTGCACGTGACAGAGAGGCAGTCCTCATGAAATCTATAAAAAATTGTTCTTAGACTAAAGAACGTCTTTTATGAGAGTTCTTTGAAAAAATGGGTCCGGGTAACGGAAAAATACCAAAAATTCTGCCACTACAACTACAGTCGGTTTCATCCCGGATTAGGCGGAACATCCCACAAGGAGAGGCGCGTACGCACCGCCGGAAGTCTCGCGAGCGCATAGCGCTGGCATTTTGCCTGTGCAGAGACTGAGGAGAAGGAAGAGACGCAGACCTCGGTTCTCAGCACGATATGATGTACTGTAGCTGCGAAACGGCGCGAGCTGTTGCGAGGCGGACGCCCGCCAATCCAATTTCCGCCTAATGCGAATCGAAACTTACTGTATACGGTAAAACAGAAGTGAAGTACGCACATGGTCCAGATTAACTTTTTTTTTTCAAATTTCGTTGTTCACTCCTTCCTTCAAAACCGAAATTAGCATAAGAAGTTCAACATAGAGATGTGCAAATAAACCTTTGAGACATCAACGATTTCGAAACAATATCGTTTTCCGCACTTTTCGCCAAGTGCAGCCGACTTTATCACAAAGATCAATTCTTTCCTATAGTATACAAGAATCTGAACTAAGATACATATAAGATATGGAGTAAACAGCAGCTTGAAATCTTCCTTGTTTCAGTGTTTATTGAACCAATTGGGGAAGGCAGCTTACCACTTGGGAACACTCTGTGTTGAACTTGAATTCCTCGATTATCGATTCTTCTACAGGAAGGCAACGCAAACGATTCATCACCCGTTTGTACTCTCGCTTATACTTGTTCTAAAATACGAAGCATTGTTTATTGAGTAGTTCAACAGGACAATGAAATATAAGAAAATGTTTTCAAACTTACATTGTAGAGTCCATATATAATCGGATTTAAGCAAGAATTCGACATGGCAAGCCAATGTGCACAGAAAAAAACTACATTGATGTACTTCCACCTGCAAGACCAATTGAAATGGGCGTATAAATGGTACTAGAATTGCTGCAAAGCTTACCCATTAATCTCTGGTTTGACCTCATTAAGCAGAAGGTATGACTCCAGTGGGAACCAACAGAGGGAGAAACAAGCCACCACAATCATTAGCATGTACATCAGCTGAAGGACGACAAGATCAAGAACGAAGCGTGAACGACAAAGAAGTGAATACCTTTCTATTTGACATGTCAGTGTTGATACTCGGCTGATTCAAATTCCTTGATTCATCTCCGCTCCTGACGGTCGATGTCCAGATCTGTATGAATCAAAGGATTTAATAATGCAAAGTGGAGAAGTCAAACCTGCCTTGATAGCTATCATAGTGTATGCTGTGTCTAGGATGATCATGGGCACGAAATAGTGTATGATTGTCAAATAGATATTGTAGATTTTCCACAGATTTTCTTCCGCATAAACCGGTCTACACTATAATAAGTAGACATGACAATGCGGCAATGACCGTTGCGTCAAAAATGTCCGGAGGGGGGGGGGGGGTAAGGGAAAGAAAGTAAGGAGAGGGATTCTTACCAAATGTAGAGCATCTGAGCCATCCGTTAGAGAAGTTTCTGAGATGCTTTGGGATATTCGCAAGCAACTTTGGGATTTTGATTTAGGAGGGATGGCTTTGTAAAGAAGCTGTTCCTTGTGAAAAAATACTAGAATTCTTTGGATTTAATCTTGCCACGGTATAGATACTACTATACTAATTCAGTATACAAGTATATCTTTTTGATTACAGCATTCTATATACTGACTCCCTATTCACATGCATGTTCTTCTCTTCAACCGAAATACTTGAAACTTAATTTAACTGAATTGCAAACTTAATACAGTCTTGTCGGATCAAGCTGCATCTGCTGAAACATGAGCATACTGCTATGTGAGATATTTTTATACAGAGATATGTTGATCAGCATTGGTTTTCAAAGTATGCTTCAAGTACCGTTCACTCATATTCTCGACTTCCATGTTTTTGTCATTCTGGGTCCCTCTCATGTTCCTGAATCCGGATATCAAGTTATGCGAAAATCCCGACGATCCCGTTTCGCAAACCCGCAAGGGAAGCTTTCCGAAACGGTGATTGGTTGGGTGCGCACGGATGGGTGGGACGAACGTCACGCCGACTTGAAGGGGATGAGCTAACGTGTCGAATCAATCCATCGTCCGAAGCAATTTTCGAAGCAATCTTCTCGCTGAAGCAAGTTTCGGCAGCGTGAGTTGGGCAAAGATACATTTGGAGGTATCGCTACTGTTAGGCATCAGAATCTATCGACACCGTTTTGGGTGGACGGTGGCTTTAAGATAAGAAGGTATACTTAGGTAATCGCCGGGGGCGGGCGGTCAGCAAACTCGCGCTTTTTCTGCAGGCGGTCAGCAGAATTTTGGGGCGTGGCCAAACCTTCAGCAGGCGGCACTTCCTTTACGGCCGCATATTTTTCCAGCGGGCAGCAATACAATACAGCATTTTTTGCGCTCGTCAAATAATTTCTTTCGGCGAGCGCTGCCCAAACTTTTAGCAAGGGCTCGGACTTTTTTTACGCAGTTTCGGAGGTACGCCGAGCAAAGCTGAGGCTCTCTGTGGCAGAAGTGTTATCGATGGTTTAGTTACCCGAGTTTGGGGTACCTTCTTTTAGCGGAAGCTACCTTAGGCAGTGCGGTCCTTCAGAAAATTTTGCATATTCTTGCGGAAAGTATGGAGAATGCGGTCACTGGGCCGCAACTTATCCATAGAAAGGCCGCGATAGTTCTCCGAGCGTTTGTCCAAAAATTGGCTAAAATTATCCAAATCTCTGCAAGCGGACCGCAAGAAATCAGCAGACTATTTTTCCGATAATCTGAGTAGATGATATGATAAGCGTTACTAAAACCAAAACAAAGACATGACGTTGTACGACTACATATACAGTGTCATATACATAATGTAAAACAAACAATAAATGAACAGTACTTGATACTATACATGAACAAACGAATATACCAGATACCACAAAGAATAAGTGCTAAATGCATCTTAAACAACTTTTGGGTTACTCGCTTGTTATCGACACTCTTCACGCTGTTACTGTGATATTCAGCTAGGCTAGTGCTGGTGACCACGTCGCGCCGGATAAAACTCTCAAAAATAGTCATTCGCTCGCTAGCGATATCAGCATTCCCTATAGGCGCATTCTTCTTCGGGAGGACAGTTGCCTAGTAGCAGCATGATTTTCGCTTGGATGATTACCCCGTCTTTTGTATACGTTTGCATATTTTGGGCAGGAATCTGACAAGGGGAGAACCCGAAATCGAAATCGACTTTTCACAAGAATAATATACCAACTGAAGAGCATCAAACGCTAATTCCAAAACTGTCTTTGCTATCTGCCAAGCGATTCTAAAGGCCTCAAAAAATTGAACATGTAAGCGGTACAAATTGGTCCAAGATTACGCATTTGGCCCAGCGTTGCCTATCGGACCACTTTATGCATGGAAACTTTTTGTTTAGTATACTCGCTAGTACATTCGTGCTCAACACTTCTTTATTTGAGCGCTCAAAAACCCATAACCATTGAATTTACCTAAATTTTGCTGCCATTTTTTGCCCCAAAAACAGTCATATCTCAGCATCTAGAGGCGCTTGGCAAAGAAGGACAGTTCTGGAATCAGCGTTCGATGCCCTTCAAAGTGGCTTACATTTGATTTGGAAAGCCGATTTGGACTTTGGGTTCTCCCCTAGTGAGAACTGCCGACATATTACTTCGCAAGGAATCACTCACTTCCAATACCGAGGTTTGCGAGTTCTGTTTCCCGGATGGGGAACTACTGATTTTCTCTTTGATTTCGCGATCTAGTCTTTTCTGTCAAGCTCTCGAAAGTTCCTCTCTGTCGGTTCCTTTAGTTTTTGTCGAAGATCTTTCTCTACGAGTAAGTATGCGAATCCGTTTTCCACGCTCTTTCATCACTTGAGCCTTCCCTCTTTTTCCTCTTCCTGTTCACTTGTTCCAAATGCCTTTCAAATCGCTGCCTTTCCTCGCGTAGCTTCCAGGCCTTTTCCAGGTTTGCTCTATCGAGTCCCAACTAATCGTCTCTTATGCATATTGGTTTTGCTTCATCGTCAGATTATGTCTCCAAAATTTTTTCCTCGTAGACAATCAAAGTCTTGCACTATCAAATTTGTCAAATTATCTGCATTTGCAAGAAGATTTCCAGAACTAATAAATGCATGTCCACTTCCTTTGCTCTTCCTTCATGCTTCGCTTCGAGACGTCTCAAATAACCGGACTACGACATAAAGTAGCTCAAGTTTTTTTAACTTAAATACATCTCGGTTTTCCGCCAACACTAGGAGAAAAGACAAGATGAGAAAAAGATCAAATGTGGCCCCAGGTGAACTCATTCACCCTCAGTCAACTGACTTCCAAATTTGTAAATTGCTCCGCTGCTCATAAAACTTTTTCAGAATTTCTCTCTGCTGCAGATTTGATGCCAATCCTTTCGCAAAAGCGATGCAAGAAGCACTTCATAAGAAGCAAGCATTTTGCCCATCGATTTTTCTTTCAACAGATGGTGAGATATGAGAGAAAGAAGAAATGGAAGCGGTTTCTTCAATCGTAATGTATAGCATGTTTCCCGAATGCCAGCCAGTTGAATACGTACGACAGAAGCAAAATTAGAAATGTCTGTCACCTGAGCAATCATCACATCTCCATCTTCGTAGAGATACACTTTATGGAAAAGTCCATGAGGAAGTGAGACTACGGCTGCTATAAGCCAAATCAATATCACCAGATATCTAAAATATGTTGTTTCGTAGATTGCTGTGAGGCTTATGCTGCACCTGGCACTTCGCGTGTTCAGACTAGCGTGTTTGGGGAAAAACGTCGTACGGAACTCGTGAACAGCCGATGCTGTTAGTGTAAATACAGACACTGACAGAGACACCGTCTCTGCGTACGGTACGATCTGACATAGTGAGTCTGGCAGGAACCACTCCTGAATAAAAGAAAGTTTTTAACGAGATTGACAGATAAGCGGGTATAGAAATTGACCTGGAATAACGCAGCCTGGAATTTGAAAGGGATAGCAAAAATGCCTGTGAAGAGATCAGCAAATGCTAAGTTGATGATGAAGTAGGTGGTAATGGCTCGAGTTCTAAACATTACGTCTGTAGTATCAAATCAATGCGAAAAATGTTTTGTTGAAGTGAAGCAGAGTGCCTTGTGATCCACATTTCCACTGATGCATCCCTCTACTTCTTGCAGCTTTGATGAGCTAATTGTAGTCAATCAAAAAAAGACATCCGGAGGAAAACGGTGGGGATTTATGGAAAACGCAAAAAAACAATTTTCTAAATGGCTTTGTTTGCGATTCTGTAGCATGAAAAATGTGGGCTCAACGGCTTAAACAGAGGAATAAGGAGCTCATCTACTGCATTGATGTCAGAGACTTGCCGGAATATAGTCTGTGCGTCATTTTGTTACAGCACCATTGGGAAACAATGAAAAAAAACTGTTGTTCAGCTCACCTTAACCTCAGAATTGTCACAAATATGACTAAAGAGTTTCCAACAACAGCGAGCAGAGCAATTATGGCATAGAGTACGCACCAAAAAATCTGAAAGTTGACGTTGATGCTGAGCTTTGATCTGAGATGCTACTTACCAGTTCAGGAGTAGACAAAACATAAAGTTCTTCGTCGTCTGCAGTTGTCGTGACATTATCCATCTGCAATTACAGCGGTTTAATTTTGGAAGAAGAAGTGGCTTGAACGCGGACGACAAAGTGAATTATAAATGAGCATTCGAGATATACAGGGTGTCCCAAAAGTATGTATACACTGTTTGATCGTTAATACCTCTCTTCCCAAAAAGTTTTTTGCCTTGCTTCAAGTACCGTCTTGTAGAGCTGGCTTCAACTTAGATTTGCACTATAGAACGAATCACCCATCTCTCTTCATTACTGTAGGATTACGGTAGGAACTTGAAACATATGGTGTCAATGTGGAAAAAGCTGCCATTTCAAAATTTTTCAAAAAAGTGTAAAAACTTGTGTAGTAGGGTTTCTATGGACGCTGAGTTCAATACTCAACTATTCACAAGATTGCGAAGCTTTTTAAACGGTGTAACCGCACTTTTTAGGAACATTGAAAAAATGGCCGCCACCTCTTACCTGGCATAACTTTTCAATGAAGCATCATAATAAGATGCGAACTTTACAGTTAGAATCAGAACTCTAATTAGCCTAGTGTAAAAGTTTTCAGGCTCATTTGTTCCTTTCTGAGGCAAAATATGGCTATTCATGGCTCAAAACCCTCTTTGAAGTTTCTACCGTAATCGTGCAGTAATGAAGAGAGATAGTGATTCGTTCTACAGTGCAAATCTAAGTCAAAGTCAGCTCTACAAAATGGTATTGGAAGCAAGATAAAAGACTTCTTGGGAAGAGAGATATTAACGATCAAACAGTGTATACATACTTTTGGGACACCCTGTATTATACAATACCAAAAGTAAAAAACGGCATCGGGAATCAAGACAAATTTCACTTCCACGTAAGTTCCTTAGGGCTGTCTCATGGTCCGAAAAGGAAGATATGTATTAGGTTGTTGGTTAAAGTTACATTTTTGTTTCCAATTCTTGAAAATCCTAAAAATTTTCGGAAATTTTTATGCTCAAGGATTGCTGACGGAGTGCAAAGGTCCACTCAGGTACTGTCCAATCCGTGGTCCGTGCGCAAAACATCCACTTTATCGGTGGGGATATTTATGGAAATTTTTGTCAATGGACTGGCATTCTATCAGATGATCAGGGAGGACCGGGCGATGTGGTAATCGGGCAGGTATGGCCCATAGTTTTTGCGAAACATAAAGGGATGGCCATTTATGTCTGCACCGTTTACGAGAGCTACCTGGTGCGCCATCTCAGCGCACAATCATATTTTAACATAAAGGACATTTTTTGAAATTTGCAAAAAATATCTTTATCCTTTTTGTGTCAAGTCCTATACTATGCACACAAAAAGAAATTCTTAACAATTTTTCGATTTTTCGATTCTTTTCATCCATCGTTTTTGACATGCTAGCGACGTCAAAGTGCTGCCATAAAAGAGACAGTGCAAAAATTTGGGTACTATTAGGTTGCTGCATAAGTTCTGTCCGATTTGAATTTTTTGAGTTCTAAGAAATTAGTCAACACACAGAAACTAAAATCTTGGAAAAATGTTGACTTTGAAGAGATATAACTCTCTTCAAAGTCAACATTTTTCCAAGATTTTAGTTTCTGTGTGTTGACTAATTTCTTGGCTATCAGACACATATTGAAACCTGCGAAAATCCTTGTAAAGGAAGGAGCAAGAACTTAAAAACTTCACAGCGTTTTTCTTCAAACCTGTCTTTTTTGACATGGCAATGCTCCCTTATGAGAATTGATAAGCATCTTGTCCAACAATGAATAGATAGAGAATTTTTCGCAGATTATTTTGGGACATAAAAGAGCCCACAGGAGCTGCGTTGCCGAGAGATTTTTTTGACCGAGAAAAGAAGCCACTTTTTGACATCGCCTCAGTGCATGTGTGCATGCCTATTTACGAATTATGAAAACTTTGCAACTGACGTGAGCGCCGAAAAGAAATTGGTGGATGGTCTCTGCTAGCCCTTGCTTTACCCTAGCACCTCCAACTTTGAAGTCATCGATTACTTCTATTGACAGAAAGTTATTCCTTGTAAAACATCTAGACAGAAAATTAATGTTTGATAATAAATTTTACTAGCACGACGTTTTCTTCATGAAACTGTACTTATGCGTATGCTAGCCTGTTACACCCTTATTCCGAAACCGATTGAAAAACTTGACCTAGAGGGCGCATTATGGAGATTTCCTCGCAAGAGCATATTTCTAGGGTGAGAACGTATCTCGGCCACTTGGAGATTTTAGTCCTGAAATCTCCTTACACTAAGAAATTTATTGAAATTTGATATGCTTTAGAATGCGCAAGAAAAGCACATTTTAATGATACTAACAATATCGCATCAGAGATGAGATCCTCTTAGAGCAGCTGCTTCAAACATAAAGCAAAAAATTTCGGACAGAACTTATGCAGCAACCTAATATTCCAGATTACATAACCCAAAAATGAAAATTCTCGGAAATCAACTTTGTACTTATGTTAAAGGTCACTTGACATGCAACTTTGTACTTATGTTAAAGGTTACTTGGCATGCTGATCACGAAAACGATATTCATTTCACATGGTAGAGCCTTTTTGAAGAGTTACGCTAGGCATACGACAATAGGTGAAATCCTCAGATTTTGCTGAAATTCTGCTCGGAGAATTTATATGACATGCTGATTACAAATGTCACGCTTTTTCTGCGGAAAAGTTTCATTGTATGTTTACGGTAGGTGTACAGTAGGAAAAGTTTTAGATTTAGCTGGAATTTATTCTCGAGTGGTTATTCGGCATGGTGATCACGAATATAGTAGTTCTCTTGCGTTCTGGGAACTTTTCGAAGAGTTACGGTAAGTGTGCGGTAAGGGATCAAAATCGTAGACTGTCTTTTTGTGCAGGGGGATTGTCTAACCTGCTGATCACGAAATATCGCATTCATTTCGCATGATAGGGCCTTTTTATGGATTTTTAGGATCTTGTACTGGAAGGGGAGGGTGCTTATTTATATGCTATTCCTTAATAAGACGTTATTGAAGCGAGTAAACATGATATTCGTAATTGCTTGAAAACGCCTTTAGCAAGTTGCAAATTTGGGAACATGACTCCCAATCTACGCCCGTGGTAACCCAAGAAAATAGCGCTACTTTGTGACTTTGATATGCACATGTTCAGCATGCCGAATATCCATTCGAGAACAGATCACAACCAAATCTAAAACTTTGACTCCCTACCGTTAAAGCTAAAACATAAACATGATAAGACGTTTTCGTGCTGAAAAAAGTGTGATATTCGTTAACAGCATGTCGAATAGTCCTTTTGTGCAGAGTTTCAGCAAGACTTAAGATTTTGATTCCATACCGTATGCCTAACGTAATCAGAACATCAGTTTCGTGATCAGCATGATGAATAGTCTCTATCTAAATGGCGAAATCCGAGAATTTTAATTTGGTTGCGTATTCTGGAATAGCGCCAAAATATGTTTTGAAAAAATTATAGAAGAAAAATATAATTACAAAGAAAAAATTCAAAAAATGACAATTTTCAGTGTTCTAAGTTGTCGTTTGCTAGTCATATGTGCATTTCATTAGTCATACTATTGTGTACGCACATATGGAGCAAATCTGACGATTTCAAAGAGCTTCCGGAATTTAACAGTAATTTGCAAAAAAATGTAACAGAAACTGTCCCCGGCCTATTATCTATCTATACATATAAAGCGGAGAGTTGGTAAATTGTTAGTTAGTGTGTTCGATGGAAAATTTTGTGCGTGAACCGATCAGCGCCAAACCTTGCACACATATGTTTTCGACGCCGGTCTACCCCTAGGCTACTTTTCGCGACAAAATTCCCGCTCCTTTCATTTATTTATCAATTCCGAAGAAAAATGAACTCTACTCAGCCACTAGCAACCACTTCCAACTTCCGCGTAAACGGAGTAAAATTCATTTGCCTTCTACGAAAAGGAAAGGCGGTAATTAAAGGAAGCAATCAAGAGATATCTGCCAAGTGCCTGAATAAGAGAAGAATGCCACAACGCGCAGTTGTAAGCCTTATAAAATGCGCACCAATCTTGTGTTTGTTGAGGCTACTTAAAACCGCGGTGCGGGTAAAGCCGGGCATACCAGCCAGTATATTATGTCTAAGGATGCTGATTAAACCCGACAAGGAAGACAATTACAGTAGAGAGATATATTTTTGAAAAGTTTTTGTCTTCAAATCTAAAGATAATGGACGTTTTCATCTGGTAAATATTAGGTTGAACTAAGTCTTGCAACTTCTTTCATAACTTTACTCTCTTCGGATGTGGTCAATCAAACATTGGCAATATGTATATTGCGATGAGTGCTACAAGCGTCACGAATTGACCAATATTGAAGATAAAATGAAAACATTTCAGATATTTTTCGAAAACTAGTCTTATATATAAAGCTGAATGTCTGTTTGTCTGTCTGTCTGTCTGTCTGTCTGTATGTCTGTGTGTACGTATGTTCCGAATAGAAAATTCCATTTTTGAACCGATCCGGACCAAACTTGGCACACATACACTACGGGCCCCGGCGGGTGTCATAGGCTACTTTTCGTCATCGATCGATATCGATTTTATCGATTTTTATCGATTTTTTTGCTGAGTTCACCTACGGAGCTGGGAGTTGGCACAGGGGGGTAATCGAGCATGGGGATTCCGAATACAATATTGGTTTTCAGGATTATCGATTACTTTTATCGATTTTTATCGATTTTTTTGCTGAGTTCACCTACGGGGCTGGGAGTTGGCACAGGGGGGTAATCGAGCATGGGGATTCCGAATACAATATTGGTTTTCGGGATTATCGATTACTTTTATCGATTTTATCGATTTTTTTGCAAAGTTTGAGCTAAGGGGCTGGGAGTTGGCACAGGGGGGTAATCGAGCATGCTGATCATCCCCAAGGGAGGTGATCAGCATGCTCGATTACACCCCTGTGCCAAATTCCAGCCCCCTAGCTCAAATTTTCAAAAAATCGATAAAATCGATAAAAGTAATGGACGATCTTGAAAACTAATATTGTATTCGTAATCTG